TGGGTGGGATCCCATTTGTTGGTACCCTTGGCCACATTGTATATGTGAGATTATTGAGGATTGTCTTAGTTCCATTGAGGAAGGAAAGCATATTCTTGGCCAATTATTGTGATCAAGGCTTACAATTGTTCCTTTACACAGCTTGTGGTAGGCTCACCTGGTGATTTCAGTGGGATTAGCATTTGATCCAGTTGGGAAGCTACCTATGCCACTTTCTGTTAGTATATTGAGAGTTTGGAAATGCGGGGCCTGAGTCACCTTTTTCTTTTCTGGGGTATTGGAGTACCATATGATACCCTGCATTATAATGTCCAACTATTTGGAGGGTTCTTAATCAATTCACCTTCCTCTTTATGCCTTTCAGTGTTCTACTTTGGTTATCTAATACAATATAGTTGTGTGTATAGAGAATAAGACAGAAAGGAATCTAAACTGTCTTATCTGAGCTAGAAATACTGTGTCTTCTGTGCTCAACTGATTAAGTCAGGTCCACTCTAGATAGTGTCTCTTTTTGAAAGTCACCTGTGCTATGTGTCATAATCTAAAGATGGGTCTAATATTCCACATATCCAGAGCTCGGGGAGTCATTTTAGAATCCAGCTACCAAACAAGGCATAAATGAATGTACTGGAGACTTAATTAAGCAATTATCTTTGGGAAGGTAGTAAACCTATTCATATTGCAAGTACTTGTTATAATCATTCTTTTCAAATTGAACAAAGTAGATCTGTTACCCCAAATACTGAAGAAATAATTCAGAATATTCAAAAATCTTTTGGAATATCATGCAAATTTCAGAGGTTTAATCTAAATATTCTATTTTGGCCATGAAAATACTATGTGAAAAATTCAGTGATGTGTAAAAAGACTTATTCTACCCTCCATTTATATTTTATGGTTCTGTGAAGTTTCTATGGATGTCAGAAATTCACATAAAAATAAATATCATGATAATTTTAACTTTACGTTCTTAGACCAGGTTCATACTTAACACTAACAACATTTGTGTAGATTACACACTGCACAAAATTATAACTATTGTCATGGGTTATAAGTAGTATTACCTAATCCAGGACTGGCAAATACCAAAAAATAATCAAGTTTTCAGACTGATTTTAACAAGTTTTCAGACTTATGTAGAGTGAGAATAAATATGGATTGTTACATTTAAACATAGTAAAGAGCTAATGTTTAGGTAAAGACCTAAACATGATTTAATATTTTATTTCAAATAGTCTTAGGATGATAATTTTTGGAGTGATAATTAGAATTATTTAAGCTTGTTTTTGAATTCAAGTTTTACTTTTAAATTTTTCAGATTACAGTTCAAGAGGTACAAAAAACAATTGTTTACTTTGGATCATGCACAAAAGGTTAAGAGTAATATGTAAACCATAGAACCCGTCCTAACAAGTATCTACTAAAAAATAACTGCATGAATAAAAGTTATTTATAAGAGAAAATTGAAACATGAATTGAAAAATAAAAATACTTAAACTACCTTTCCTATTTTATTGTGTATATTTATAGCAAACCTAAATATGACATATTTAAAAGAAAGCTAAGTTCTAATGGTTTCTCACCTTCTCATCATTTCAAAGATAAAGTTTACTTGCTTTCTCATTCATCATAAAAGATCTGGGTAGATGAAAATTAATAGAGAGCATGTTGGTAAACAGCTGGGTCATAAAGTAGAATGGAGGGCTAGGAGACAAGGCAATAAAGCATGTGCCCACTGTATGATGAAAGTTGGGGATGCTACTTGTGCTAGATGTCCTCTTCAAACCACTCTCCATCTTTACTATACTACTCTGTGGTCTCAGGAGAATGAAATTCATGGGACTTTTCAATGAGTTTTTCTTGCCTTCTGGTTGGATTTGGCTAATGGGAATGAACTGCTGTTATTTTGATCTTGAAAGGTAAATCCCAACCCATGGTGCTATTGAGAGGCTATGAAACTATTAGGAAGTGGTGCCTGGTATGAGGAATTAAGTCACTGGGAGCATGCTCTTAAAGCAGATATTGGGTCCTCATCCTCTTTATGCCTCTTTCTTTGCTTCTTGGTTACAATAAGGTAAACAGGATTCTTCTACCAAATGTTCCCACTATGATGAACTGTGCTGCCACAGGTCCAAGAGCAGGGCCCAGTAAAACATGCATGTAAATCTGAAATCATGAGCTGAAATAAGCCATCCTCTTTATAAGTTGGTTATTTCAGGGATTTTTGTCACACTAATAGAAAGCTGACTAACACAAAAATTGTACCAAAAAATGGAGTCATTACTGTTACTATACCTGACTATACAATTTAGAAGCCTTTGGAAATGGTTTGTAGGAGGAGTTTGGAAAAGTTTTGAAAAATGACAGAGAAATATTTGGATGCTGTTAATAGGGCTTAATGGGTAATTTTGGTAAGAACTATGAAGACCAGAATGCCATCAGGAATGTGAATAATAAAGGCTGTGCTTATGAAGTTTCAGATGGAAGGACTTTTTTAGGGATTTGACTACAGGCCATCTTTGTTACACCTTGGCAAAGAATTTGAATGCATATGTCCATGACTTGAAACTTTGTGGGATGCTGAGTTTAAAGATGGCAGACAAGTTTATCAGGCAGAATTTTCAATGTAGTGCAGCATTCAGGCTGCAGCATGAATGTTGCTATTTGATTTTAACTAGATTTGCAGTGAGAATTGGTTGCAAAAAGCAGAGTGAAAAGATTTGAAAACCTTTTTAAGTTTGGCCATAAAAGGAATTTGTTTGAATGTGTGGCCAAAGAGGGTGCAGTTGTTAAAAGGATTAGTGACATTACTAATAAGCCAGGTACTTTGCCCCTGGATAACAGGAAAGATACCTTGACAGCATTTCAGGAATAGGTAAAACCCACAGAAGTTGAAAGTGTAAACTCATTTCAAAGGCTTTCTTTTGAGAGCCCTGGTTTAGGGCTGCATAGGGAATTGTTTCCCCAGCATTTCTTTCCCCATGTTCCACCGTCAATGCACTCAAAAGACTCTGTAGCCATGGTTCAAGTGGGTCTCAGTATAGCTCACACCAGCAGCAGACCTTGGCATAATCTAGGTTATATGGGTTTTGCAGGCATACAGAATGGAAGAGTTATGAAGTTATGGAGGCTTCTACTGATATTACAAAGAAAAGCCTAGCAGGCCAGCGTGTGGCAGAGTTAAGTCTCTGTAAGGAGCCCTGCCAGGGTGATGCATGAAGATGTGAGAATAAAACCAAAACTCTAGTGGAAAATCCAGGAAGTTAAAGATGACAGGAATGTGTACTGCCTCTGCACCAAGCAGAGCAAGTCCAAGAGTGGCCACATGAGCTGCAGCCAACAAGGCCATAGGGGCAAGGCTGCCCAAGCACTACGGAACTCATACCATGCCAACATGTGCCCTTGATGCTAGACATGGAGCTCTGGGATTTAATTGTTTCCTTACTGTGTTTCAGTCGTGCTTTGATCAGATTCTTCATTATTCTCTTATTCCTCCCTTTTGGAATGGGACTGTATTTTGTAAGTATGTAGCTTATTTCATTTATATAGGGGCTCACAGTTGTATTTGTTTTGAATCTCACAGGAGACTTTGGATTTGGGCTTTTGAGCAATATTGCAAAAGTTAAGACTTTGGGGACTCTCAGACATAGACTATATTTGCATTATGAGATGTGCATGAACCTTTGAGAGGCAGGGGTGGATGTTATAGATTGGATCTTAATATCCCAAAGGATCATGTGTTGAAGATTTGGTCTCCAACCTGTGACACTAGTTGATGGTGGAACCTTTAGCAAGTATGTCCTGATTGTAGAAAGTTAGACCATTGGGCATGTGCCCTTGAAGAGGATATTGATTCCTCCTGCTCCTTTCTGTCTTTTTAATTCTTGGCCACCCTGAGATAAGGAGAAGAACTGTCAGATGTTCCTGCCTTGATTCACTGTGCTACTAAAGATCTAAACCAGCAGGACCCACTTATCATGGAGCAGAATCTCTAAAACTGTAAGTCATACAAATCCTTCTTCATTTTAAGTTATCTCAGGTATTTTCTCATAGTAATCGAAAGCTTACTAAAACAGGCTGTCAATAGAATTCTAGAAAGGATGAGGAACGTCAGGGCATTTATTTCCTGTCTCCCACTTCCAACCTTTAGTTTGGCATTGGCTGCCCTTTTTCTATCTAAGGTCACAGATCTTATTGGGTGACTTTCCAGTACAACTACTGGACATTCTGTGTTATAGGAAATACTACCTCTCTTTGACCCTTTAAGTCTTGTGGTGATTATACTGGCTTCTCATATTGCTAAGTTCAAGGTACCTCATAGTTTCTTGACTTTTCCTTTATTCTTTACACCCTTTAGTAAGTTGTTCTGTAATTAAATGCTATTCTATCACCACTTTCAAGTGTGATTTCTATTTTTGGCCAGGACCCTAATTGAAACACTTCTCAGGTAGTGGAGAGTAAGAGAAACTTTAAGGCTATGTGAGAGGGTGGAATAAACTGCTGAGGAGAGTGAGAGGGTGATAGAGTTCTAAGGCTTTTTGCAGCTTGTATGACTGTAACACCACTTCTTTAGTTGAATGTCTCTAATAATTTTTTTCATTGTTTCTTAATTATTTTGATTTGGTTTCTTTTCATGTACAGAAGACAGGACAGGCTCATGAAGTGTCTGAGACTTACATGATTAGATAAGACTATTAGAATCTGTCTGAAACTTATAGTAAGATACTTCTCTCATAAATTCAGCGACATCCCAACCCAGTGTGCCTGTTAAGTTTCTAATCAAATAAAGTGGCAGAGGAATGACATTTATTTTTGTTTTTAATATTTCCTTTTACCTTAAAAGAGAAATTAGGAAAAGCAAGTCATTTCTTCTGGAACCAATATTTCAGTTCAGAAAGTTACTTTACATACAGGTGTCACTCCAAAAGTATACATAAAGCAAATCATTATTGTTTGTCCATCACTATAACAATTTATATAGCTGAGGATTCATATATCAACTAGAATTTTCTGTCACCAGAATTTGCCACTTGCCTACGACAAATAGGACAGGTAGAGTTCTCAAACAGCCAGCGATCGATGCAGTGCACATGATATTCATGGGAGCAAGGTAGTATGCGAATCTTATTGCCTTCTGTGTATTCTGCAACGCAAATGGTACAGGTTTTTGGTGCGTCATTTGCATCAAAATCACTTACTGCCAAATTGTCAATCTGTTGTTTCGTGAGTCCTGTAGGTTGGTTATGATCACCTTCATTTAAGTGAAAAAATTGATCTATAAATGGCAAAGAATCACTTTCATCAGATGTTGCAGGGGTTGTAGATCGGCTTTCTTGCCTGCCCTCTGGTGGTGAGTCTGATGATGAAATTGTTTGAATGCTATCTTCAGTCATCACAAAGCCAGTTTCTAAATTGTCATTTGCAGAGTTGGAAGTGGGTAAAGGCCCAGAACTGGAACTGTTTGTGTTGTTGACACTTGAACTGAAAATTATTGGGGAATCTGAAAGAGATATATAGCTAGGATTTGAAGTTGAAGAAACAATGCTAATGTCATCAGAGCTATCTCTTCTATTCTGTGACTCTTCACCTCCCATGTTTTGACTTGAGAAAGAGTCATTAGGCTCTAAATCATTATTGCTATCGTCACTGTCACTGTTGCTATCACTACTACTGTCACTAGTATGACTACCACTATTACTACTACTGTCACTGTCATTACTTTCATTATCACTCTCTATATGGTTACTTGATTCACCAAATCCTGTCATATGCCTTAATATCCCCTGAGTAGCAACAGATGTTGTATCATTTACATTCATATCTGAAATTGTACTAACATGTAATCTAGCAGAGGTAGTCTCACTTGCTTCCTCAGAATGTGGAAACATGGTTCTACCTTCTTGTTGGTCACTTTGTAAAGTGACAGTGTTGTTTGGTGACTCAGATGTTAACTGACTTCCTCTATTAGCTGTGCGATCTCTTGGTGAATGTTCTGTTTCAGTAATAAGTGTTATCTGAAGGTCAGGAACTACACCAGGATGTCTTGGACTCAATCCCCCAGATTCATAATTGCTGGTTATATATGAAGAAGGTTCTACTGAAAAGGTATTCCTTGTTGGAGAACCTGCATAAAGATTCCTACTTTGCAAAACAGGTCTGGTTAGTTGCTCTCTCACTGTCTCATGTTGCTGAAATCTAGGAAATATCTCAACCTCACTGACCATGAGCTCCTCAAATATCTCAGGTGGCATATCTCTAAATCTCCATATCAATTCCCTCACTGGATTTGGAGGTGAGTTACTTTCAGATCTTTCTCTGACTCTCCTAGTTTCAGGGCTTCTGCTTCTCCCTCTTCTCTGACCTCTGGTAAGTGGAACGTCCATTAATGCTTCGGTTGTACTTCCTTCTGTTGACTCAGATTGTGGAATTTCAACTTCACTCTGAATGTTTTCTACATAATCAGCTGTCCATAACATTTCATTCAGGGAATTTGGAGGTGAACTATTTCCAATTCCTGCTCTGACTGTCTGGGTTTCTGGGCTCCTGCTCCTTGCTCTTCTCTGACCTCTGGTAGTTGGAACTTCCATTAATGCTTCAGTTGTATGTCCTTCTGATCTGTAAGGCCTTGCAAATGTTGAATCAGATTGTGGATTTTCCACTTGCCACTGGATATTTTCCATATTTTCTCCCTCGAGAAGTCTTACAAATGATAAACATCCACTTTGTGGATTTGTGGTATCATTATTAAGGTTAAAATTCATCCCTACATGGACATAACTACTGTTTGAATTACTCTGATTTGTTGCTGTATAAGAATGACTTTCTCTTTGTCCACTTTCTGCCATATTTTCATATTGTTCAAAAAAGATAAACTGGTCTGTTATAGAATCACCAGTAGATAAATCATCCAAAGGGTCTCCTTCACCTGTTACCATAAAAGAGGAGGAGGTCAGAAAGGAAGGACCAAAATTAGAGTTATCATAAAACAGTTCACTGTATGCATGTATGGAAGTATCACGATGAAATCCATTTGTATTATTAATGTATGCTAACTCAAAGACAAAATTAAAAAACAAAAGATAATGCTTATATTTTGTTTCAAAAACCAATGAAAATGATAGTCTAAGTATTCAGATATTTTAAGCAGATTTTAAGGGAATCTGATGAGGTCTACTTTGAATATTTCATCATGTACAGGGCTTTGTATCCCACTGTGGAGAGCATGTTAAAAACTCAGTTTTTCAGTTCACTATAAAAAAACTAATATGATCAAACACGGTAACCACCAATTAAGATACACTGTTCATATTTTAGCTCAAATTGCATTTCTGTCTAATTTTATTAGTCTGTGACACTACTTCTAGGTTATAGACTGAAGTGCTTTCAATAATACACAAGGCTGTTTTATAATGTAAGACTATTGTAGACACTAGCAAAATGAAACAAGTTCTATAAGTTTAAAATAATTTGAGCAGTTCTTAATGTTAACAGGATTTTGAATGAAATTGTAGACCAGACCAAATGAATAGACTGAATCTAATGTAGAATATATAAATCTGTGCTCAAGAACCAAACTATTGTAGTACACTTTTCATTGGATACATCTAAGGCCACATTCAAGAACTGAACTATTATAGTGCATCATTGTTAAATAGTAAGATTCACTATTTCACACTGGGAGAAAAACACTAGTCCTCAGGTAAGACCAGGATTTCTCAATGTTTACAATATTGACATTTGGGGCCAGATAACTGTTTTGGGAAGCTATCCTGCACATTGTAGGAAGTTTGGCAGCATTTCTGAACTCTCCACCATCAGATGAAAGTGACATGACCAACTATAACCCCCAGTTGTGACAACCAAAAATGATCTGTAGACATTACCAATTTTCCAGTGGATGGGGACAAAACTGCCCCCAGGTAAAATCCACTTGATTATAGTATGCAACATTGATTTTTTGTTGGCGAAGTTGCATGTATGATTTATTCAAAAGAAGAAATATAAATGCCCAGAAAATATATGAAAAAATGCTGACTATTATTAGCTATCAGGGAAATGCAAATCAAATCTACAATGATACCATTTCATTCCAGTTAGAATGCTATCATATAAAAATAAGAAATGCTGGTGAAAATGTGGAGAAAAAAGAGCTGGTGTAATATAAATTAGTATAGCTATTATGCAGAACAATATGAAGATTACTAAAAAAAACTGAAACTAGATATACCATATGATCTAGCTATCCCACTTCTAGATATAAATCAAAAGGGAATTAAATCAGTATACCAAAGAGATACCAGAGATACCTACAGGTCCAGTTAATTGCAGCAGTATTCACAATAGATAGGTGCCTACCAACGGATGACTGGATAAAGAGAATGTCTTTATATATTTTTTGTAAAGTACACAGTGTATATTTACAATGAAAGGTAGGGTAGTATTTATTCCTTTTGAAAAGCCAGAATTTATTCTAGACAAATTTAGGGAGATTTTTAAAGGGTATCTGAGGAAGTCTATTTTCAGTATTTCACATTATACACAATGGAGTATTATTCAGTCATGAAGAAGAATAAAATCCTATTATCTGCAACAAAATGGATGAATCTGGGCATTAAATAAAATAAGCCAGAGACAGAAAGACAAGTACTGCATGTTCTCTCTCACACCTGGAAACTAAAAAGAGTAGACGTGAAGATACTATAGTGACTACTAGAGGCTGGGAATGGTTGTGTGGGGAGGATGGTGGAAAAGGGGAAGTCAGATTTGATCAGTGTAGGCTATGGGCTATATACATGTGTCGAACGAGCACACCAAACTCAATTATATACAATTAAGTACATGCTAATCAAACGAAAAAAGTCACATGTATATATAAAAATATAGGACAGAGGAGGAATTTTCTTTTCCCTTCATTTTTAGGGTGGAGTTTTGAACACAGGACTTTGTGCTTGCTAGACAGGGGCTAACCATTTCTTTCTTTAGTTAGTTTTCAGGTAGGGTCTGGCATTTTTGCCTTGGCAGGCCTCAAACTTCCATTCTCCTGACCTTCACTTCCCTAGTAGCTGGGATTATAGCCATGCCCATGGCAACTGGCCAAGGAACTTTCAATGGAGGCTGAAAACCAAGAAAAAAAAATCGATAGGCTATTTCTCACTTTCCCCAACAAAAACTGAATGTGAATCAGGAGAGAGAGAGATTAAAAAAGAATTAAGCTTGACATTCTAATCAGAGAGTAAATAAATAACAGTTTCTTTTTTATGTTTTCTTTTTTTGAGACAAAGTCTTGTTACCTGGTCCACACTAACTTCAGAATCACTAACTTGCCCAGGCTATCCCAGAACTTGTTACCCTCCTGCCTCAGGCTCACTAGTGAAGAGATTATGGGTATACATCACTGCAACTGGCCAGCTCTCTTTTTATGAGCAGTTATGCAGCAACGAATTAATTTCTTCATTTCTACATAATATTTGGCTCACATTTACCATTATGAAATTCTGTATTCCTCACATTCTATTCTCCCCCACAGTGGGAAAGTAATCTATTTTCACCTGATTTTGCAGATGAGTCTTTAACGTGTTGTAGTCGTCTCAACAACTCTTCTTCTGTGCTTTCACCTATCGTGCCTAGTAAGTTGTTATCTCTCATAAGCTTGTAATCTTCTTCAGTCAGGTTACTCACGAATCGATAGAAACCTTCTTCCCGTGCCAATCTGTTCATTTGATTTCTACGCAGGTCCGCAGGTCCACTTTCGTTATCGCCAGAATTAGAGCTTTCCATCTTGGTGAAAAAGAAGAAAAGTGACTCATACCACAGCGAAAAGATAAACGACCTGTAGTTTAGCTTTCTTTACTTTTGGTTTTAGTGTGAGAACGAACCTCTGTTGCAGTCAGTTGCTATCTGAATAAGCTCCTCCTCCATGAGACTTCTCACCTCATTGGCTCTCAGCTTAGACCTGCCCTTAACCCAGTGCCTTCTGGGAGTGGTTGCCTAGGTGGCCATTTTCTCTGCTGTTGCTAAGAGACTAGATTCGATACAGGTTTCATTTTAAGCCTTTATGAAGTACCTAGCACCATCCTTCACCTTCTTTCAACCACATTAGTCTTTTCTCCAGCTTTTAGGCTTTTTCAAGTCTGGCACATTCTAGTTATTTGTAAACTAAATTACAGAGCTCGATTACAACTACTTACATTACATAGACTATTTTCTTCAAAATTACACGCCAAAATCATCCTAGTTAAATGCAGCAATTCTCCATTTAAAGGTGTGCCAGAACTTGTCTATCTTTTCTCCTCAAAAATTCTTCATATCACTGTTGTATAGTAAAGCATGCCAATATTTGATAAATCACCAGGGCCAGACCTAAATGCCTTTAGTTGGGTCCTCTCACTCTTAATGGTTTCATCTTGCATTATATAATTCCTTAAATTTTGGATAAAGGATTTTAAACCACGTTTTAAAAACTCTGCCACCCAGGGGTGTGGGTTCACACCTGTGAGCTCTGAGAAGGAGTTCGGGAGGATGATGATCCAGGCCAGTCTGACCATAAGGGTGACTGTATCTAAAAACTAACCAAAGGAAAAAAGACCTGGGGGTTTGGCCCAAGTGGTCAAGTGCCTGACTAGCAAATGAAGCTCTGAGTTTAACCCCTAGTACCAGAAAAAAACAAATAAACAAAAAAAACATCTGTTAGGGGCAATGAGTGAAGAATGAAGCAGTGTTAGAGTACATGCCCACACCCATGCTTAAGGGTAGCAACACAAGCACACGCACTATCCTACATCTGGTTTGACGTTAACTCAGGAATTATCTACAAAGGCTTACAGTTTCATTTTTTTTCTTATAAATATAATAAATACTGAACCCAAACTACCCAAACTCAAATAGGCATTGTTAAAACAGATCCCCAAATGAGCCAGGAGTGGTAGCCCTGGCCTGTAGTCTCAGCACCAAATCAGGGGGAGGCTGAGGCAGGAGGATCATGAATTTGAGTCTAGCCTGGACTACATAATGAGACACTGTCTCACACACATACACACACACACACACACACACACACACACAAACACACACACACAGGGAGAGAGAGAGAGATCCACAATAGTTACCTTGGTTACAGTAGTGAGTGCTGACTTTACTGATTTTGTCCCATGTATTTTAGACCAGCCAGGATGGCTTATTGAAAATAATTCATTTTCAATGCTACATAAGATAGACTTCTAAGTAATAGAATTACTGCTTTAGTAATATTACCATCCCCACTTGCTTGTTGTGCAATCCTTTAAGTCGTTGTGGTAAAGAAATCATGTGGCTTACATAATTTGACTTATTTAATAAAATAATCTATCTCACATAAACTGAGTCAGTTAATGACCTAGATAATAGTGACATTGTCAAATGCTGCAGTGGCCTGTACTCCCCATTTACATTCCACATTAGGGAAACATCACATAGAATTATTAAAATATATTGTAAGTTATAAAAGATTTATATTTGTAGTATTACATAAGTACTGAGTAGTGGTATAAGTACAGAGTGGTATTGGAGTTGCAAAATGGTTTCACAGATATTACAGTTAAATCTAAATCTTTAAAATAATTATGGTCTTCTGCAAGTAGAAAATGGTAAATGGACATGTGTTGGTGGAGAGAAACTTATGTCAGACAGAAAGAATAGACTTGAAAGGCCTTGTTTTGTTTGGAAAACTGTCCATAAGTGGGGGGATTGAGATTAAAACGTTATGAAGTCAATCCATGAAGAAATAATTTACATAGACTCTAAATTATGTTTTGACAGAAATAAGGCACAGATTAAAATATTTCATTATTTTTTGAGAACAAGCAATGGATTTTATTTTTGCCTGCTTAGCCTCCACTTAACATCCTTAAAATAGTACTTTGAATTTCCAAGAGGAAAATTTTGTGCCCCAATCTTAGTTCAGTTGGTTTAAGACCAACTTAATTCACTGTTATGTTTAAAGGAATGGACACAGATCCAGCCATGTTCAATCAGCTATCTCAAATTGCTGATAGTGGCAACAGACTTAGGCATGTGACCTAAAGCAGTCCAGTTAAGGTTAATTCTGAGATTTTAGATGAAATTATTAAATGAGAAATATTTTCCACTGTGCTTGCTTGTATGATATAATCCAAAGATGCTGTGTCTATCTTGTTTAATGAGGAAAACCAACATAGAGAGAGGGGAAAAATACAAAGAGGCAGATAATAGAGAAAAGTACTTGAAGTTAGATATACCTTAGGTTTTTAGTTCTGTAAGCCAATGTGTTCTACTTTGTAATATAAACTGGTGAAGGACTTCTGCCACATAACAGTGAAAGGCCTTAAAGATGCAACATAAGTGTGATTATTATCAGTGATCTAATAAGATGCTAAAAAAGTAATTTTTCACAAATTTGTCACATAAAACTTATTTTCTATTGTCCATTCTATAAAATTGTCATGCTTATATATTTCAGATTTTAATTAAGTTTAATTTTTATGAAAAAACTAAGAAAACATTAGTTTTTGTCAGACATTTGTTTAAAAACTATTTGCTGGTGATATCTTACTTGGTGGAGTAGCCAGGTTCCCCTACCCTTGCTACTGTGAACCTCTGGAGAGTGAATATGGTGGAAATATTATGTACTCATGTATAAAAATGGAAAAATGAGACCTGGAATTCCAGGAATGGGGGAGGGGGATAAAGGAGAATGATGGAGGGGATGAATCTAACTAAGGTATATTGTAAGAACTTTTAAAAATGTCACAACGTAATTCCAGTACAACAATAATATGCTAATAAAAATTTTTAAAAAAGAAAGAAAAAAACCTGTTTGCTAGTTACTGAAATTGATTATAATTAATTGATTTTTTTCATTTGGTTATGAATTAAATAAAGTCATGACATATAATTTCAATTCTGTTAAATGCATTTAGCAGCAACATTGTTTCAAATCATTGCACATCTTTGGTGGGGGTAGAAAGTATTTCTTCATTGCTGCCTGCAAATTGTCCCTATTTTTTCTATTCATTTTATATACAACACAATGTATTCTGATACCTATGCCCAATAATACTCATTTAATTCTCAGATGAAGGGAAAATATCCTGAAGTAAAGTAGCACAGAACATTTGGTTTATGTTAGGAAAGAAAATGGTCCTGGTGGGAACTCAAATGTCTTTCACTGATACCTTAATAATAAAGAATGAGATAACGTTACATGACCAATCAGCTCCTTGGTGAGATTTTTAAGATGCCTAAATTTAGTAAAGTCTTAGCGTGAAGAGGTTTGTGTTTGTGAACGTGTGTGTGTCTAAGAAGATGTTTGGTGAGATTAACAGCTAATGACTTACATGTAGTTTCTGGCTACTAGTAACAGTAGATTTATTTCTCTGAAGTTTTGAAGTTTCAGATGTTGAGTCCCTACAGCATTACATTGTTGATTCAAAAGTCTTGCTTTCAATATTTGTTCCCAAACATAACTACAATTCAGTGTATTGAAAGGCAATATAATGAGAGATTTCAACATATAAGAGGCTTTGGCTGAGAATTAGGAGACTCAAGATGAGGACTATCAGTAAATGTCCAACTATTTAATCTCTCCAGGCTTCAGTATCATAAACTGCAATAGCTGAGAGGTTTGAAAGTATTTGCAAAGTCTGATTTAGTCATTTGCTCAAAGGATATTGGGCAGTGGGAGTTGAAAATAATGCCTAAATCAGGGTGCTGAATTGGCAACCATAAATTAAAGAGGGAAAATTGAGGGGACTAGAGTAAATAACAAGTATGACTGATAAGTGAAATAAATGAATTAGGGAGCAGTTCCAAACTCCAAAGCCAAATGAAGAACAAACAGACAGAGTCTGTCAGAAAATTAATTGAAAGCCAGTAAGTGGAATTGGAGTATTTAACCTTAGAAGTCATTCAAGAAGTCTCAGGGCTGAGCCAGGGGAGGATCATGACAACCTTGGTAAAGAAAGCCATGAGGCAGTAGCAGATGTGAAATTTTGACTGTAGTTTGCTAAATCAAAATATTTACACCTTGGATCTCTGAAAGTTGGTAATCTGTTGTGTTGATAATTTGTTGTTTGTAAAACAACAGTTGAGATGAATGACCTCAAAGATTTTTTATTTCACAATTTTATGAATAATATAACCACGGTGAGCTTTGAATTTTTATTTTTTAAAACACCAAAAAAATGTTATAATTAAAATTCAGAAAGTTGTTATAATATAAAATATGCCTTGGCAAAAATCCCTGCAGCATCTTTGCAACACTTATGAATTTATAAGTCTTTTGCTTTCTTACCATGTTTCATATTTAAGTTCATAAATGAAGATAAGCAGATTCACTGTTTTGGAGGTGAGAGGAAAAAATAAGAGTGTATTTATCATCTGCTAGATGTGCTCACTGTATGCACTGTTATGTATAAGTGCAGCCTGGGTGACTTGAAGTACAGTTGTCAGACTTTTAATAAACTGGGCACCCATTTGTTTCTACACAGCACATCATCCTTAGAGAAGTAACCAGTAGAACACATGAAATAGCCAAGTATTCTGTACTGCAAAATGCCTTCTTTTTTCTTTTTATTAACATGTATTAATTGAACAAAGGGGTTTTATTGTGATATTTCCACACATGTACTTTGATCAAGTTCACCCTTCTATTGCTTTCTTATCCCCCTCCCTCATGTTTAAATGAGTTTCATTATTACATTTTCAAACATTCATATGAAACACATTGATTTAAGCAGCATTATTCAACTGCTCTACAACTGTTT